TTCATCACATACATTATCTTAGGGGAACCTTATCCATAAACCGGACAAATATATGCAGAATTGAAGGTCAGTGCAATGCAGGCGACACCAGATTCTTTTAGGTCACATTCTGACACTTGCAGTTACCATTACCATTGTGTGCATGCTAGACAATTTGGGTGCCATTCAAGTTACCAGATAGCACCACTCTTGTGACGTGGTAACTCATGTGGTCTTACTTTAAACACAAGTCTGACTAAGCCCTTAGTGAATTTGTATTTCATTTTATATTTTTGGTGTAGATTTTAGCCCAATATGTTAATTTTTTTCAATATGTTAGAAAATGCCAGGGGGCAACTAAGCAACACGATTTTTGGTGTTTATTAAAGAGACATAGGATCAGGAATAATCTGAGAAAACTGGGTTATAATGCTGCCCACAGGAGGAATTGGACATTGGAAAAAAAAAAGAAGCAGCTGGCCAGCCAAGTGTAACCCTTCCTCATGCTAGGATTTCAGACTTTAGTTTTTAGAAAAGCAGTCTTGGGAGTGGATCTATGTTCCCCAAACATCAAGAAATGGATTTTGCAGTGAGCACAAAAATCCTACTCTCTTATCGTTCATTAAGAGACACAGGATCAGGAATAAGACAATTGTGACGCCCAAGACTCTTGCAATCATAGCCATTTTACACCAGGTCACATAATCAGGGCTGACCGCCCAAAAGGCCAATTAAGGTAACTCATGGAAAAATGGTAGGGGAAGCACTGAGGCAGCAATGTCCATTCCAGACACTCCATCCCCAGTACATATTTATCCCTGGGCCGCCAGAGTCCTAACAACTAACGATGGGAGGCGATATTGGTGACACAGCCCTGGACAAGGTTTCTCCAAAATGAAATTGGTTGTTTAGCAATACTCTCCCACTTTCCGTTATAATAGGGAAATATTTAACTTTTAGTTTTTACAGGAATAGCACCACAATACTAAAATGTAAAAAGGAACATAATAAATTTGTATACCGGTAAGCTGTTTATGAAACTGTTGCAAATGTTGTGCGAGTTTGGTGCATCACTTTCAACTGAGGCCATACCTCCAGAAAACATTACAGACAAGCCCCACAATCTTTGGTGGGGTGGTGTGGGGTCCAGGCTGAGGATTAGCTGATCCAGACAGCTGCATATCAAGTTCAGCGGCATAGCAAAGAATATTGAGCGAAGAATCTTAACAAAAGTTTTTAAAAAAAAAGTTAAAATGCCCAAACTCTTCCCCTAACATACAATAGTCCATCCTCCTAGAACACTAACTGAGACATTGTGGGGTTGGGCGGGGTTATACTTGGCTGGCCAATGGCTTTTTTTTTTTTAATTCCTAATCCTGTGTTCCTTGTTTCTCATCGTGAATGAGAAAGAAAGATGATTTGGCGCTCAGTGGGTGCTCATACCCTCTTGGTTATTACCTGCTACACTGGCTGGTTGTCACAAGTGATGCTTTTATTAGGTTTTTAGCTGCATATGGATGCTATAAAAGGTAAATCATAAAAATGATTGTTGGCAAAAGCTGATCAACATCTTGCGATAAAGATGAAGCGTGAGGTACCAGTCTATTCTCCTGCAATTATTCCGGCCTCAGTGCTTCCCCCACCATGCTTCCAACAGGTACCAGTCTGTTCTCTTGGTATTAAGAGGCACATGCTATTACTGAACTAATTTAAAGCTGAACTCCAGGCAGATATAAAACAACAAATCTAAGAACCTAAATTTGATTTGGTATCAGCCGCTTGTCCTCCACTTTATAGTAGAGCTCATGCTTGGAGAGGGAGGAGGAGCCCTAGGAGCCAATCAGGAGGAATGTGTGTTCACAAACAGCAGAGGTTCCTAAGGTGTTAGAAATCAACTGGAATGGAGTCCATAGTGTGATCTTTGAGAATGAATTATTTCACGGTACAAGCAGCTAGAGAGGTCAGGGAGTGTTTAAAGTATTTACATAAGTTTAACAAGCAGTGAAATAACTTTAAATATCCATAGTGTGGGCATGGGTACACTTTAAATGCAGTAGAGAAAAGTCAGGTTACAATTCTGGTTTTGTTGTCTGGCACAGATGTGTAAATCTCAATAATGGGTGGACAAAAATACATATACAGTTAAAATGTCCCTCATATATTTGAGCTATGTATTTAACAATCTACATGGAGTTCATATTTAAATCCAATATATAATTTGGAGGCTTGACCATAATCTCTTTTACATGGGTCTCTTAAACCTTCAAGAAACTGTTCCAGTTTCCTGTTACATGAGAAGAGGTCTGTTACTAAGCCATTTTTCTGACAACTATTTACTACCCAACAGATCAAAGAATGGCAAAAACAGGCAGGAGACAGTTAAAACATTTCATTTTAAAGAGCTTTTCCGTAGCATCCTCAATCATCTCTGCCAATTAAAACACCTCTTCCCCCAGGAGGCATAACAATTGATTACTCATTTTTAAACTTCCCTAAATGAGTACCTCTTTCGGGGAAGACATCCATATACAAGGGACTTGAATCCTCAATACATTTATCAGTGCCTACACAATGACTTGCAGAGATTGTAAAGAGGAGGTCTGGTGTTTTGGGACACCAGCAAATATATCATTGCTGTGGTTTATCTAGGCAGCCACACTGTGATCAAAGATTTTCATGGGAAAATAAGTTTCTAAATTATGATAAAAAAATTATCTGTAAAAGAAAATCAAAAAAGAAATGACTACACTTTTTGCTCGCAGCAACCACATTTTCTATCACATGTTAATGCAGTTAGAAAAAAACAAAAAGGAATCTGGCTGGTTGATATGGGTTGCAAGTAATTCTTTCTTCACATACCCCAAAAAGTGCATCTAATTCACTTACGTATATGTAAATGTAACCTATTTTTAATATGTTTGGCCTAATGATTCAGTGTATATAGTCGTCTTCAGCAAACTATTTTTTGTAAATCTTTGGCAAAGTTTCTTAACTAGGGATCCTGCCAGTAACGGCACTTCCTTCAACAGGTTGACAGCGCTAAGCCACTAGGTTGCAATAAGGCTCCGTTCACACATAGCAGTTTTCTGTGTGTATTCGTATGCGCAGAAACAAAATCTGAACAACAATACATTCAAATGTATGTTCTTCACACTTGTGCGATTGTCTGCGTGGCATGAAAACGTGCGTCATGCAAAAAAGTCCAAGCGTGATATTCCGGGCGGATTCTGCGCGTTCCAGCTAAAGGATTGGCCGCAACCTTGCAGAATCAGCGCATATGTTAAGATGTCCATGTAGACGCCATGTGTGAATGGAGCCTTACCGCCAGTGTTGTCAGCCTGCTGTGTGTGCTCTTTCATTTGGATCAGATAGGCAGCCAACTTAAGAAGTTCATACGGTAAAGTTTCATAACACAAAGGGGGACATTTATCAAAACTGGAGCAGAAGAATCTGGAGTAGTTGCCTATGGCAACCAATTAGCTTCTATCTTTAGTCTGTTCAGTTATGATTTGAAAATGAAAGAAAGAAGCTGATTGGTTGCCATGCACAGCTGCTCCAGATTTTGATAAATTCCACTCCATGTGTTTCCTCTGCCTGCTATGAGAACGTACATATGCTCTGTGCCCTCATATAATGGCAAAACCTTTACACTACACTCAGCATTTTCCAAAAAGGTTTTTTTTTTTGTACAGGACCTGTATCACTATTTTCCCAATATATGGGCACTGCTATCTGCAATCATGTAATTGTGTATGTTGTTTATTCATGCCATTTGCCTATTTATACATTGTCATTACTATTAAAAATATAGCCAACATTTTTGCTCACTGTTTACAGCTCCATTGAATGCAGTACTGCAAATATTAGCTGCACATAATTCTATGGGCTGCCCAAACATTAATCCTGAGTCAATGAACAGGCAACCCATGGATGTTCATTTAAGTGGTGTTGGTACATCAGTGTTCTTAGCCATCTTAAATAATGCCATGGTGCTTCTAAAGTGATACATATTCTTTCTCGTCAGGGTAATTATAATTTCAGTTACACTTTGCATTGTAACAAACCAAGGACTATTTTATGTTATAGATGGAATCTTCACCTGTATAGTGGAAGGGCTACAAATGTTATAGTATATCGAACGTCTACTCACTAGAGGATTACAAATATACAACCAAAGCAGTTTATGTAGCTATATTTGGTGGGCCATTCTTAACAGTAAAGATGCAGCTAAAATGAAAAATGATGGGAGACATGACAAAACCCTCTGAGAGCAACTTAAAAGTAAAGTGCTGCTGTAGTCTAATGTGTCTGCCACCACAATGTGCCCTTATGTCCTCAGCTTCTTGGAAAGCCAATAAAACATGCGGGTAGAAGCACATCTGAGAGACTGGAGTGTGCAAAGACAAAAACACTTTTTACACTTATAAATGTTATTTGTATGTATTGTTTACAAACTGATTTGTAAATGTCATAGATAAATATCAAAAATATATCTCAAGAAATGTTCAAACTGAACTTGTAAGTATTCTTTAAAAAAGTAATAATCTAATAGAATGTAATTTTAAATACAGCGAGTATAAGTAACTCAACTTATGTAATTTACTGTGAAGCCTACCACAGCTGGGAGAGGGAGACAATCTGACTCTACAGCAAGGAAGGATCAGGTTGGTGAACAATATATATCTATCTATCTATATATATATAGAAGATGTAAAAAAAAACAAAAAACTGAGTATTGAAGTGTGCAATGATACCTTTCTTATTGGACTAACATATTATTTAAAAGACAAGCTTTGGAGAGTTAACCTCTTCTTCAGGTCAGAAGCAATACTAAATCAACATGACAGAGTTTACCACTTAAAGCAAGAGAAAGTTGTTGTGAGTAAAGCATGTATCCTGAGATTATATATCTATCTCTATAGATATATAGATATACACATATATACATACACAGCATTGCATCAGGCTTTCAGTCTAACACAGGGTTTGCTGACAGAGGGAGAAAGTAGAGTTCACATGACCTGATCATTGAAAATGATACTCCTTCACCCGCCAGTTACCCAGTAAGGGGCAGGTTGGTGAGCAATATATAGGCTAAAGGCAAATTATACAAACACAGAAAATTAAAAAGCCAATTAGGCCTTAGATCCTGCGAACTAAACCACATAGAGGTGCCTCTCTGTGGCTGCCAAACCCAGGTGGTCTGGCCTGGCTTGCATATACACTGGTGCAAAAATATCATGTGACAGTTCCTGGATCAAAATGTAACTTAACCCTTTCGCTGTCAAGCCCTCCGGAACATTTTTCAAATCAGCTGGCCAAGCCATTTTTGAATTTTCTGCCATTTTTTCCTATTGATTTGATTTTCAACTGCTGCGTTGCTAGCGTTTGTAAAAGACCCCCCAAACTCCCCCCCCCGACAGTGATTTTTTTACGGATCCCCGCTGCCACAGACCCTACAAGCAGCGGGGATCCATGGAGTCTCTCATCCCTCCCTGGGATGGCTCCAGGGAGGGATAAGAGACTCCAGATGCCGGCGGCCGGCAGTGCCGGGGGGGGGCGCCCGGTATTTTTGATAATAGCAGTTATCAGCGGCTTGTGAGCCGCTGATGACAGCTATTAATTTAAAGGGGACAGTCTGCTGAACAGTTCTACTATAAGCTGATGGTCGCTAAAGCGACCATCAGCTTATAGTAGAGCTGTAAATGCCAGGTCCGTACGGCATACTGAGCTGGCCAGCTGGAAGCACTTTTGTAGCTCCGTACGCCGTACGTCCTTGGCAGCGAAAGGGTTAAAGGCTCAGCTACCGTACAACTAAAAATTGTCTATGAATCAATGCGAGTGTATAAAATGGTAGCAGCCAATATACTGGTGAAGAACTGCTAAAAAAAAAAAATCACGGTTATTTATTATATACAAATCACAGTTTCTCTCTGATCTGTAGCACAGAGCCCCACATGCTGCAACTGTTCTGCATATAGCAGACGCTTACTGACATTTACATTTAAAGAGAAATGTAAAAAAATAAACGTGTTAAATCCTTGAGAAAACTGACATGCTAGCAATAATTTAAAGGTCCAGTCCTTCCAAAAACTGTATTTTTAGTTATAAGTGGAGCATAAGTGGCTGGGTCAGCCCCTGGCTTCTTAAAGGTCTTGGATATTTCAACAGCAAGATCTGTTGTGTCTATCCACAACTCCTGTTCACCAAGAGTTTTGGAGGTTTACACTCATCTTCACCTGATGCAGCTCCGCCTGCTGCAGAGAAACTTTATAATATTAAAATAATTATGATAAAATTACAAATTCAAACAGGGGAGAGTGGAAGTCCTTCACAGCAGGTACAGACCTAGAAATTTAAGCACAGATACTGTGCCAGATAATTTTTTTTGTACAAGTCACTCTGAATTGAGAAAGCTGGTTGGATGTCCAGTGAAACATCTTCAAGAAAAATACAGCAAGTCCAGTTGCCTTGACTTATATTTTACCGATATGTGCCAGTGAAATGTTTACACTTTACAATCTCATCTCATATGTGTGTCTGTGCTTGGTTTTAGTTTAAGGAACATCTAGTGTTTTGGTTTGTGGCATCTTCCAATTCCTCAGTAATAATTGGTTATCCTGACACTTTCCCGCCCTTTTTCATTCTGACCACGACAGCACAGAAGGAGATCCATGCAGCCGTGGCCAGTTTCTGTCTCCGTTTTTCCTCTTCAGAGATACAGGATACTGTGCCGAAACAATGTTCTTGTAACACTTGTACTCAGTTTTAGGAAGTCCATTTTTCTTGTGACAGTTAAAAACTGCTCCCAATTTTCCTCATGGAAGCAAAAGCCGAGGCAACAATCACATGGACTATAGAAAATACTGAAGTTCCTTTTTAAGTGGCAAGCTGGACAAAGTTCAAAGATTGCAGCACTGGAGGACATTTATGATTATTTCTAAATACTGAAAATAAAGAGCGAACCTAATTTAGTTAATTATTTACATTTTAGAAAGAAGTTGCCTAAATAACAAAACATAATTCACATTTATATTTATTACCATGTGCCCATACCTTCTGCTATATCATGCTGATCAACAACACAGACTGAACAGATTTGTGTCAGACCTAGTCACCTGTGAAATCCAGAGGATAAGGACTGGCCACTCACAATTATCTCCATATTATAAGGCCACTATGCTTAGAAATGGATCTTCACGCCCCTTCTGGGGCAAAGCAACAAGTCTGCTTGAATCCCCATATAACCCCAGCATGTATTTGCCCCCCCCCCCCCCTTCTTCCCCCACTTAGCAATGGGAGTTGAAGAAAATGCCAGGTACTTGGGGGTATGGAGAAACATGTGGCTCACTCCATGTGATCGCACTGGCCAATCACAGGGATTTATAGCCCGGGGACTAACGGCTTACACAAGACCTTGTGGGGCCTGAACAGACCAGGAGGGGAGTCAAAGGAAGATACATATATGATGCTGGGTGGGGTGAAATTAAATTTACCCCAGGTTCTTTGCCCTGCTTGAGCATAGTACAGGTTCAATTTAAAGCAGCAGAGAACAAGGGAATATTGGTCAAACATTGCATTCATCTATAAATACACAATAAACAAATCTGAAGGGAAGCCTGAATGCAATTAGGAAAGCGTGTGTCTGACATGACTGCATTGAACTCAAACAACTTTCTGCCTACGTGGATTTTGTTATCAGCCACTCGTAATGCAGAGGTCTGCATGGAAATGGGATCTATTCCCATCAGACGTGGGAAAAAAAGAATCACAGAGGAAGGAAACTCTGTGTATTATATCCTCCAGATGATCTTACCACATTGCAAGAAACATTGCGTGAGAAAGGAAAGCAGAAGAACTACATTACCAGATCTTCAATGTTTCCATAGATGTTCTTCTTCATGCCCGATGCCCGTGTGGCTACCCAGCCCCCCAGTGTGCTGAACTCCATGGAATCTGGCTCATGGCCTGTGCAGTACCCGCTCTCCCCAAGCTGAAAGAGATCAAATAGAGATGAATTAATGAAGCTAAAGGGAATGTACACTGTTTGGATATACATTCTTTATTGTGTTCAGAACATTCAGGACTTTGTCAGGTAAAAATAATGTGCATTCAATATCTCCAAACAGCAGGTGGTTCTCTAGGCCTTTTTTCACATTTACCTGGTTAAACCATAAACAAGGCCCCCATGAGTGTGCTTCTGCTCCTTTCCTGTCCAGTCACAGGCTGGGGAAGGGAGGTGTCACTCCTGTATTCCTTAAAGACCCACCCCATCCACAATCTTATTTGCTGTGGACTAAGTGGGGAAAGGATGGAACCTCCTATGGGTTTTGTTTGAATTCATATTATTGGGAGATTTCCCCCTGCTTCCTGCCAGGACAGGAAGAGATACAAAATCTATATAGTAGGGACACAGAATTAAAAAAAATCATTTATTTTTGACCAAAAGTTAGAACTTCTGTTTGGTTATCCTTACAGTCGGTGCCCCCCTATCTCAGTGACAACTACTTCCCTCATCCTGCTGTCACAGGGTATAGGGAGGACAGGAAGTAAGGCAATGTATTTTCAGTGGGATCATGGAGAACAATGAAAACTTGACTGTATGTATGTACTCATCCAAAGTCTATCCAAAAAAATAAATAAAAAGAGTTGTGTCTGTGCACATCTCAGGTCTGTATGGATATAAATGTTAATCTGTGCATGTAGATATGTGTGTGGAGTTCAGCTTCAATTTTAACTGCACTACTGAGGAAACCCTGTTTACAGAGCTCAATAGTGGAAGCTAAGATTTTACACACAGCTAACTAAATCAAAGGAATTACTTGGACTCCAACTTCCATCTTCTTCCACCTCAGGAAGGTTTCATACATTGCTTACTTGTATCAACAAATTACATACAAACTATCACCCTGGGGAGGGTGTTAATAGCCATGTGTCTGTGTTTGCTGATGATACTAAAATTGGGAGGGTAATAAACACGGGACAGTATATTACAGGAGGACCTGAATAAAATAGGGGAGTGGGCAACGATATGGCAGATGAGGTTTAATGTGGAAAAATTTAAAGTAATGCATTTTAGGGTTAAAAATAGGCAAGCGGAATATACATTAATGGGTACTGCACTAATGAATGGAAAAAGATTTGGGGGTCATAGTAGACCACAGATTGAATAACAGTTTGCAATGCCAGGCTGCGGGAAACAAAGCTAGCAGAGTACTGTCTTGTATTAAAAAGGGAATGTACTGTAGAGACAAAGGGATAATGTTGCCACTTTATAGATCACTGGTTCGGCCTCATCTTGAGTATTCAGTTTAATTTTGGTCACAATCCACAGAAAGAATGTCCTGGAGTTGGACAGAGTCCAGATAAGGGCAACACAACTAGTTAAGGGGCTGGAAGACCTAAGCTATGAGACAAGGTTGCTAAATTTAAACATGTTCACACTAGAAGTGATATTTAGGGGGGACATGATTTTAATGTAAAAAATGTTTAGTGGAGATGGCAACATCAGCAATAAACTTTTTACTGTAAACTCCCTAACAAGGACTAGAGGCCACCACATAAAATTGGTGGACAAAAATGTAACCACAAAGTGTGTAGGGGATTAATTTTAATCAAACTAAAGTAACAGATTGTCTTCTTATTCCACTACCACCCCACACGCTTATAATCCCTTCTCCTGAGCGCCCTAGCCACACCATTCCTCCATTAGAGCCGTTGCAACTATCCAATGCTTTCACATACGAGAAAGAATATGATCTTTGTGCAGCATGCAGTGCTCAGGGTTCAGCTGACAACCGTCAGGCCTAAAATCTGTCATGTAAGGGAGGAGGTGACAATAACCCAGTGCAACTTCCGCCACCATAGGATACAGAGCATATTCAAGGTTTGGCTCCCAACAAAGCAGCAAGGGAGTGCAGGGAAGGTCAGTTTAGGATGTTGGGGCAGGCTATTTATTACAGATATTTATATAGTGCAGATAATTTACGCAGGCTAGTAAGACTCTGTTCCTCCGCCCTAAAAGGACAAACTTTGACCAACATTTTGGGTCAGTGCCTCATCTGGAATAGCTGAATATATAAATGTCTTGGCTTATTTTATTTAATTATTTTCTTTATTCACAAGATACAAAAGAAATTGATTATTGCTCGTCTCCTGACCCCATAACATGGACGGAAATAGAAAAAACTCTGCAAAAAAGATGAATACAGGAACAAAAATCCTTTAGTAGCATTGGAAGGGCTTAGATTCTCTGCTGGATCTTTACTGCTGTCTCCCCACTAAGGAGATTTACCCTTACTTCCCATCATGGTAATATCTTAATTGAGGTGTCTTCATTAGATTTTATTTTTTTTAACTTCCTGTTCCAGTAACACAACCTCATACCCTGACTCAGTGTCACAAGGACTGGAAGACTTGGGACACAGACAATAATAAATCACCCGACAGAGGTTCTACCCTTTCCCCATTTTCTCCAGAAATATAGAAACAAAAAGGTTTTTTTCCGGAGCCGACCTTCAAAAGGTGCAACTAACTAACAAGACCCAAAAAATTGCTTTTCGCCTTCATGTATTTAGAGTATGTTTGACTTTAAGCAGTCCTGCGCCAAATAATCTTTGTACAAACAACTAAAATAAATACAATTCAATATCTAGTCATAGATAACTATACAGAACCCTATAGCATAAGCTGATGACTTTTGGCAAGTAGATTATTTCTTAACAAAACAAATCAGATCATGAACAAATATATTCTCAAAGAACAAGCAAACAGCAGACTAGGTTCTAAAAAAAAATACCGCTAACTTCATGTAAATCACCCCAATAAATAAAGTCGTTAATCTCTCGTTCTCTTTCCTCTAATGTGATCTGAAGCAGCCTTTCAATAATGCGAGCAAATTGCCTACACTTAATTCTCTCAAGGACTGATGTGTTTTAATGTACAGCCATCTGGATGGGTTTCCTGTATGCAACAGCACCATCTATTAGCGATGCAGATCATGCATTCCTGTACATTAAATAGTCACTTGTTCCTCATTTTTCTATATTAGCTCAGCTTTGCCATCTGTACAGCACCTGAGTTGAAATAGATGCCCTTAAATTGCAACAAAAGCGCGCGGTCCCAGTGAAATTCTTTTCAAAGCTCAGCAGTCTTGCATTAAACGGCACAGACTCAACCATCTGTGAAGCCGGGGTTTATGGTGTACCAGGCTATCAATCAGAGGTAATCCATTTTGGTTAACCGAGAATTTCCACTCTGGTAATATGTCAATAAAAAATGTGGAAAAAATATATATATATTGTCCGGGACGGTCGTATTCGTTTACACTAGCTTTAGATAAGTACCGAAAGTGAAGTTTGTAATGGCTTTTTCATTTAGAGGGACCGGTATTAATAGTTTCAATCAGGGTGTCTGAGACGAGGAGGAAATGGAGGTTTCTGGGAAGCTAAATCTGAAACATGTTACCGTTAACAGCTTGAGCCGTATAAAGTGAATTTTAGGGAAGTTGATGAAATGTATGCGTTATATTGGCGTAACATATGTTGTTCATTGGTAGAATTTCAGTGATCAATGCTATGATATACCTGTGCTAACCTAGAGGAGGACAGAAAACAGTGACTCAACAAAACTGGAGCTCCTGTGATTCCTGAAAGAGGCTGTGTGTGGCAAGATTGTGGAGACAAGCGTTAAAAACGTATAACAAGCCGGAAACTTTTTTTTTTTGTTAGTTTAGAGTAGGGAAGAATAGGAACTCTTGTCTGTGAAAGGCAGAAATAGAAATCTGACAGGGGTTCTTGCCTTCCCCTAATATCCAAAATTAGGGGAAAAAAGTGTTTACTTCTGTCTGTGTTACTGTTGGAGAATTCCCCTCACTCACATGCTGATTTTCATTGGCAATGAGAGACTATTTTTCAGAAGAGATATACACTCAAGAACATCATCTTAAATTCGCATACCTGTCTTTCTAAATCCTGACCAGTGATACCAGTCTCCACATGAGCAGTCAGATTCTTCTCATCTATCCATAGGATTCTGCTCTGTAGGGATAAAAAACAAAAACTCATTTACAAAGTACCGCTAACATAAGACGTATAACATTCCTTTAAAACACTGCCTTGTACCTTGCTGATAGAATTTCTGGCATGCCTCCTGGATTACCATGGAACTGTAACTTTTTTTTTTTTTTTAGTGGAGGGAGATACACTGGATACCCCGATCCCAACTGATAGGAAATGTTGTTCTTAGCACAGCCAAATGGCTTCTGTTTGGAACCACTGCACAAAATTAAGCCATCCTTAAGGAACAGGGGTTACCCCAAACCAAGAAGTCTATGTGTGTTTAAGCCAGAAAGTGTGCCATACCAAAACTTTTAGCCTTATTACACATGTAAGCGCATTTTGATGCTACGATTTGGTACCAGGCGCATCTAAATGCATATGCATGTAAACGCGCAGCACTTAAAGCATCTAGAAGCATAAACACAGCATCTAGACTGACAGGTTTTCCTCTGCCTATAGAGGACAAAAAAGTGGCAAGTGTAAATGAAGCCTCAGAGCCCAAAAAGTGTTTTATTAAATCAGCTCCTGGGTGAATCAAAGCCAGAACACTGATCAAAGAATAGGTGCCGGTGTCACAGACAGAGCAACTTGCTACCTGTACCTTGCTGGACTATAGTGGAACTGTGGCTCAGATCTTTTGAAGGGGCTGGCAAAAGGTTGAAACCCCTGTCAGATTTTTATTGGTATCCATCTACCCACTGGTGAAGTTTTCTCTCACTTCTTGTCTTGGTGACCAAAGATACTGGAATAATAATTAAAGAAGTATTACACTCTCAGACCAACATTGCCCTATATGTTGAGCTCAGCGCAGTCGGTAGTGAATATATATATTTTTTTCTCTACTGTGCGTCAAACTCTTACTTTAGCTAGGCTCTCTTTGCTCTGTCCCTCACTGCAGTGCTTCCCTGAACGTCCGGTCAGGTAGCACAAAGTGTGTGACCTCTAGTCCGGTCTTCATGTTCCATAAAGTAATGCACTATCTATGGAGATTTCACAGAACAGAGCCCCTCATTCAACACCTTTGTAGGTGAAGATGGTGGCTTGGGTTGAAGAGCTTCTTGGCAGTATCTGCATATCCCTGGCTAGAAGTACGCATATCAGAGTGGCTCCAGGGGAACCTTGGATGCGGCAGGGCTACCTGAAAGGAGGGAATTAAGATCACTGAACGTCTGCTGTCTATTTGAATGGCTGGATGAAAAAAGGGCAGAGCATACAAGGAACTTCATAAAGTATGCTGATACATTATTGATTTCCCACATGTAAGGGATATCTTATGGGTCACAAACACAATTAACCCTAACCGAGTGCCGAACCCTTTAAAGGAGAACTATGGGGTCAGTGTTTTTCCCCATAGTTCTCCTTAGGGTAACGGGAGGACACAAACTAGCGTCCTCCCGTTACCCTAAGCTCAGTATACCGCGAGCTACAGCTCGCGGTATACTGAGACGCCGCAGTCGGAGCGGATCCCGGCATCGACGTCAAGATCCGCCCAGCTGCGTGAGTGACAGCTGGTTCTGCCTATCTAGAGGCAGAGCCAGCTGTACCCGCCCCCTCCCCCGTCCGTTCCGCCAGTCAGCGCTGGCAGATCGGAGCGGGGAGAGGGGAATCCAGCCCCTCCCCCTGTCACTGCAGAGAGCCGGGACAGGATTGAGAGGTGAGCGAACCCGGTATGTGTTCGCTCACCTCCCGATCTACTGAGCCGACCTGTGACAGTCTCATTGTCACAGGTCGGCTAGAACTATGAGGTGAGTGGAAATCACTCATCTCATAGTTCTCCTTTAATCTTTCCAGACAAAAAAGTATTTTACCTGAGAAAGAGAGGATTGGTCTTGCCTCCTACTCTAATGACAACCTACTCCCCAAGACACAAACAAAACTGACTGTGGTTCTATCCCTTCTTCACTTTTCTTAAAAAAAAGGTTTTGCCTGGACATTTATATATTCATATTAAAGTGTGAATTCTGTAACTTAAACATCCTATCCCTTGAGTGTTCTGATGGCTAGCACAGGTTCTCTGTACCCAAGTTCCTATCTTCAACCTATCACAGTCATTAGATAATCTAAAGACAGCTCATCATCGATCATGGAAAAATGAATGAAAGGTGCCCTAACACTACTAAACCATAAAAAGCTTAATATTGAATTTTTAAAAAAGCTAGCTATAAAGACCAATAGTATCTGTTTATACTCTGGAGTAGGAGTTTTATGAAGCAGATTAATTGCATGTGCTGAATTAGGAATGCCAGGACCTTGATGCGGCAGCCAAAATGCTCGAATATGCCTTTAAAACCTCTCTGAGCGGTTTTATATGTTTATTAGGCTTATTCTGATCTATGCCATTTCCTGCATGCATAAGAGAGATGAACTTGCCATGACCTGGCCTATAATCACCTGAGGAATAAAAAGTCAATGATCACCTGTATTCACTCTACACAGGGCTGGAAAACGTATAAAAGAATTCAGAGCTTCGTAGCACATTAAGCCACTTTGCACAACACTCCGTGCTATCAAAGTCTATAATGGGAGTTCCTTTCCATATCCAATAAACTCGTTAGCTCTCCTCCACTGTCCTTGGGTATGCTTCTGGTCTATGGAAACCCTAGCTTTCCCCTAATCTCCACAACTCAAGTTTTTCTCCTCTGGTGCATACAAATTGTTTTAGGCTGACCCATTTCCTCAATGGCAGTGAACTTAAACGATTCAGAACTTGACTTCCTTGACTCTCATGTTTTGGAGTGTACTGCAACTCTGAGATTTCCTGCTCACAGTCTTGAAAGACAAGAGACATACTGCCACTCAAACTCCCTTTGACCACCTTTGTAGTGATCAAGGGCACAGTCAGGCATACGCTTTCTCAAGGCTACTCCCTACTCATACAACCTCCCAATGGTTATGTCCCCCATTATATTTCCCAATAGGAATGGGAACTGGGCATAACAGTGATGGATGACCAAAGGGACTATATTATACACTTCACCCACAAGGCCTCAATACGTTTCAGAAAGCTGGATACAAGCAGTTACCAGCATGATATCTGGCCTCGGAAAACCTTATTTATCTTGTCAATGCTGCCAAAACTTGCATCCTGCTTCTTTGGGGGGAAAAAACAGTCCCCCCGCAATTTTGATTATGGCTGCACAAAGTCCGATGATATAAAAGACATGGAGGACCTAACCCTATTGCTTCAAAAAAGTGGAGAGCAATTTATGAAAACATGAGTTTACTGGCATAAATTCACTTTCGCCTCTGAATATTGATCTCTCTTGTCTGATTAGGTCTCCAAGGCCCACTCTTGCTTAAAAACTCGTAAACCTGGTATGAAGTGCACCATTTTCTGGGAGGTGCAGCAGTGTCCTTTCCTCCCAACTCTTGACTCCACTACCCGCTAAACAAGCCCTACACTCAAAAGCCCCCCCATCCTATCTCCCCTCCCCTACGTCTTCCATTTTCCCAAACCCTCCTTCCTCTTAATCTGCTTCCCTTTTCTTCCCTCCTAACCTAAAAAGTTACAGTGACAGCAGGCCATTGCTAGGTCTTGTCATGTAGAAATTGTACATAAACAATGAATGTCTTTCTTTGTATGGTATATGCCAGATGACTTTCTCTACCAGATGTTAGTTATTGTTTGCTGTGTGTCACTTTGATTACACCTTTAGACCTAATATAACAACATTTTAATTGTATATTTAAAAGACAACTATGGGTTAGGTGTTTTTCCTCATAGTTCTCTTAAGGGTCACGGGAGGACATATACTAGCATCCTCCCTTGACCCAAAGCTCAGTATATCGTGAGCTACAGCTTGCGGTATACTGAGACCTCCGCAGCCGGGACAGATCCTGACATAACTGTCAAGATCCACCCAGCTGTGGTATGTGTTCGCTCACTTTCCGATCTATTGAGCTGACGTGTGACAGTTTCATTGTCACACGTCGGCTCGAACTATGAGGATGAGTGATTTTCACTCACCTAATAGTTCTCCTTTAAAGCATGTCTACAGTCAATCAATAAAACTGGGAAAAATGCTGATAACAGTGTAGCACAGAAAGTAATCAGCTTGCAAGATTTCTAGCAGGACCTACAAGTATTTTTTATATCTTTATTTTTAAAATCTTAATTGTATATTTAAAAAAGACCAAAAGTGGGGAAACAAGAGAGGGTTATTGTTAGGGTTCACACTTTAATTGGTGGACAGATATGTCTCCCCCCTCCCACCAATTTTAGGAGCTACGGCAAGCCTTTGTAAAATGTATTACCTCCAAAAATTGCCCAAGGCTTTGTGAATCTTGTGAGCTCTCTGCAAATTATATTTGCACAAAAGACATCCATTTACATACAATTACTGTGTGCAAATATGCTTTCAGAACAATTAAAACTAAATTAGAACTAAAAACAGTCATTTATCAGTGAAAAATAAGAATACTGCAAATCAAGGAGACATTTGATTACATAAAAAGCATGGGCCGTCAGACAGTGTTTACCATAAAATATAGGAAGTTTTTATAAAATCAGCAAAGATGAAAAAAACACTTTAATTATCTTCTGATAAACTTACCACAATGTGTAATACATGTATTAGAAGGCAGAAGATCCAGAGTAATATTCCACTTACCATCTGTGAAGTATCTAACGAGACAATGGTTCTTTTCTCATCTTCAGGACATTCCAATGCATTAGATACACTTGTCCCACCTGCAGGACACAGCACAGAATAGGATTAAATACTATTCATTTCTTATAACAGAAGCCTTTATTATGAACAGACTGATAACCACGTTGGCAGATACTACAGGATGTATTCAGAATCAGGAACATGATGTTGACATGAAAGGACTAGGGGTCTCATAGCCGCACATGGGGATCAAAGAAGGTTCTAATACACCAGTTCAACACCTGTCACTTAATCTTTGCTGAACCTCATGGCCCTCCTATATTGCTGCACATCACAAACTAATATGAAGTCTACTTTGAAGGTAATCTTTATAAAGGTTGAAATAAGCCAACTCTATGGCAGGTGCTATAGAGCAGAAGTAAGTGAGTTCCAGCTTTCCAGCTATGGTGCAACTACGAATCCCATAATGCATTGCAACACACTGACAGCCACACGCATGACTCCCAGAGGCAAATGCATGGTGGGATTTGTAGTTTCACCACAGCTAGAGGGCCAGAGTTTGCCTACCTTTGCTTTAGAGGTTCAGAAAAGTTGCACAGGTTTGAAATCCGTCATATATATTTAATATCTCTATCCAGTAACATTTATGTGACTGAATACATTTGCATTATTCCTTTTTAATGTTTTCTGTGATCCATTTCTTTCCTCCCTCTGCATATCATTTTTTAGAACTTCCTAAATACAATTAAGGATATAAAGCCACTCAAGCCTTATTATCCCAGTTTTGCTATAAAGCCGTCATCAACACTCAGATCATCCAATCTGCGTATTTGTATCTAGATCAATGATTCAAAAAGCAGTTGTAGCCTACACATCTCTTGGTAAAGATCGCCTTTAAAAAAAAACAAATGTATCTCTACGTCAGAGGCTACAGTATTCTCTATGGCCAACTATACCTACACTGTCTACGGTACGCACTGCCCAAGATGAACACGACCTGTTAGCACCTGCAAGAGTAACCAGGCAGTGTATGAGTGATAGATGGTGGGTGGTATGGACAGGTCCGCATTACTGGCCTAATCCGTATACAGGCAGTCCCAGAGTTACATACATACGACTCCTACTTACAAACGGAGGCTATTACTGTGCAGCAGGGGTAGTTGTAATGCTACCGCGCTCGTACTGACGAGGAGTGCCCGCCTTTTTGGGTCTGGTTCGTAGTACTGTACTTACATTACAAGAAGTTGGCTCTTGTTAGACGTGCAGATGAGGGGTGCACGCCTCTTCTTCCGGGTCACCGTGAGATTTTTACTGCTGTCTGTATCCTCATTAGCAAGATTTAATCTCACTTCCTGTCCTTGAGACAACAGGAAGTGAGAGGCAATCTACGCCTAGCAAAGGAAATTCACACCTGTAAGATTTATCATGGGGGAAAAGGTGTCTCCACTGAAGCTTCATCACTTATCCTTGTTTCCATCACAACCCACAATTTTCAAAATCCAATTGTTACAGGGTCAGAAAGTGAGATGGTATTATTCTGAACAGGGGCACACACAGCAAAATAAACTTTACAGGGGGTTTACCCTTCCCTATGCTATCCAAACAAAATGAATTTGGCTGGCGTTACACATAAAAAAATGTACCTGTTCCAACTTACATCCAAGTTCAACTTAAGAACAAACCTACAGAGCCTATCTTGTTTGTAACCCGGGGACTGCCTGTACTAAGGGGAAAAAAATGTATGCCAACACAGCAAACTTACCTCCAAATGGAATAATGCAGACATTATGTTTGCAGGCCAGGTCCACAATTCGAACTACGTCTTCATGACATTCTACAATAGTAAAAAATAAAAAAAAGAGTAATACTACATTAAACATTTGATTTAATCCCCAAATTACGGAATTGGTTATTTTGAAAGGCGTGCTTGTGGGTTTTAAAGGAGAACTCATTTTAAGATGAACCCTTGCAGTGGGGCTACCCCTGCACTAGATGGGAGGATGCAGAGGGACATGCATTGGATGTGAGGAAGCCGAGGGACATTCCACAGCCAGAGTGGAGGGAAGTGGAGAGGTGAGGACTCACCGCCGCAGGATAAAGGATCAGGTAAGTGTGTAATCTTTATTCCGGCCCCTAGAAAAAAACAAGCACTTAAGCCTTGCAGTGTGGGGGTAGCCTGGCTGTGGACTTGTATTAGACTTGATGACATCACGGGTCCTTAGACCGCCGGAGCCTTGGGAAGAAGAGGCTGGAGGGACCAGTCTAGCAGCTAGGCAGGACTGTGAATCAGGTGAATATCTTTTTTTTTTAATCTCCTAGACCAAAACAAGCACTTAAACCCATGCAGTGGTTAATTTTTTTAATGCAAATTTATTCTCCACAGTTCCCGTAGCTGGGGGCGAAGCAGAGGAGTGTCCTCTGCCTACCGACTCTGTGCTAAAACGTATCCCTCTTTCGCATTTTAGAAAGCTGGCCCATATAAAACTGTTGGAGCACAGATGAGGGAAAAAAAACATAACTAAGATGCATCAGAAAGCTCATTCAACAGGGCAATGAGTAATATCCCAAAGCAACCAATCAGAGTGCTCCTTTGATTTTAGTGACATGAAATATGTTGGCTTATAAAGTCTACTAAACTTTGCACATTACCACTCCTTCAATGCCTCATTATTAAATTGGGCCTGCATTACCAGGTACATTACAAAACAAAAACATATTTCTGAGCCTAGCACTTCTTGTTCTGGTTTATGAAAATCATGTGCCATAAATTAGGAAGACTTTGGCACAAAATGAAATACCTTGTAGGGGTTCTCCACTTTAACTGCACAACTGAAAGCAATTTCAAACCAGTCTGTGCCCCCTATTGGTCTCCCATCCTAATTTTCCTGGGATCACAGCTTTTATTGTAACAGGTATTCTGTTTTACATTAAAGGGATCTTTCACTTTCAGTTAACATAATGAAAAACCCTTTCGATAGAGGAATATTATTCTGCATTGGGCGTCTCCCTTCATGGCTACAGAATTTGTATTTGAGATTTTTTGGCTGAAAAAAAATATTCTAAAACTCCAAAACAAAGACTCTTCTTTCAAGAGAAACTGCCATTTCTCGGTGAAGTAGTAAACTCTCAAACCTTTTCTCAATAAGGGCCTGTCACACCATCTAGAGTATGTTCAGCCCCTGGAACGCACCCCAGCCAGCTCACTTTTGTGGGTGGCGGGAGGGGGTATGGCGGTGCATTGAACTCAATGACACTGCAGCCACGCCTCCTGTTTGCGGTGCAATTGTCGGCACACGAACACGTGGCACATTAGTGCTTGCGTTCCTGTCCAGTGTGATCTGCAAAAAATGCTGCAAACACTATTTTTTGCAGGTCGCACTGGACTGGAACGCAGGCACTAATGTGCCACACGTTCGGGTGCCAGCTGCGGTGCCATTGAGTTCAATGGCACCGCAAAACAAAGTGAGCCGGCCGGGTTGCGTTCTGGAGGCCGACCCGACTCCTGATGGTGTGACAGGACCCTCATACATCCGGATCAAACAAATATACATTGCCCAGCAAAGTATTTCTACATTTTTGCCCAAGCACCTGTTTGGGAAGATCATCAACTTCCCAAACAGCTCCAACTCTATCAGCTCAGCTTCCCTGAACTTCCTGTTGAGTACGATTACCAGGGACAGAGCAGTCTCCAGCAGCCGTCCATCAACTACCAGGGAGGAGTGTTGAACAGGTCTTGCCTTGCTGTGTCTGTGTGTTTGTGGAGACACGGCTTACTGGCACACACGAGGGTGGCTCCATAGGACCCTGCAAGGGAAAGGAGCCACCCTAAAGACAGGATATCAGGGCCAGTGCTAAGGGAGCCAGCTGAAAAAGCAGCATCCATTGTAACTGGTTTAATCAGCCTTAGAAATAGCTTTAAAACATTAATTTCTGACTTAAATATCACTTTTAGGATTGCTGACTTTTCTCGAAGAATATGGTAAATCCCTTTTCCTGATACACCTTTAAAAAAAAGAAGGTCAAACAATTCATAAGAAAAAGTTGCTTTCAATCACGGCAGTTTTGCCAAGCTCAGAGGAAACCCTCTCCGAACATAGGATAGATCTACCTTTCTATGTCAAGCTGTGTATGCAGAAATCCAATACAATTCTGTTCTAGGGAGGCTGGAATCAAATTCCAGACAGCCACTATGCACGGTACTTCACAACCTCCCTGCAAGGGCTTCATTTGGATTTAAGGAATTAGTCGTTTCAAGCGTAATTACATAAAACAGCAATACAATTAGAACAGCTAATATTTAACCATCTTTGTTCTGTTTAATTAATGTACAATGACTAATTTGGCTATTCTGAGTGGGCCTTGAGCTATTTGCTAAGTTAACCTACATGCAATTAAATAGCAATAGTGATAATGGCGTGTTTAATAATATTTAACCATTACTGTTGTGGAGCCTGAAATATCTACACTGTTAATTGCCACTCTGAGTCCCAATCCTGCCTAATTGGCACTGCCTAATCACAAGAGAAGCGTGGCTGGCAAACAGTCCATTCCACATGGGCAGTGGAAGCACCTTGTATACAGTAAAATGCAACTTTTCAAAGGGGGTAACTGGACATTAAACGTATGAAACCAAGTGCACCTAGGTCACCCGGCTATACAACTAAAAGGCACCTAAATAAAACCGGCTTTCATCTAAACGAAACAAAAAAAAAATGTGGTCTTCGTTGCATAAACTTGCAAATATATGTGGCAGTCTCTCAGTACATACACATTGCACTAAGGCCCACTCACACATATTAGTGGTGACCTGCATTTTACCGCACTGTATCAACACAGGTGACCACTAGAACACAAAGAAAACAACTGATTTCTATGTGCCTTTTTTGCACCACAATGATGGGCAGTGAACTGTGCTGAGGAAAAATGCATTCTCTCGCAGATGTCTGTGAAGGTTCTCATTCATCCAGGTCATGGCATATCTGCAAAAAATAAGTCAAGGCAACTGGACTTGCTGTATTTTTCTTGAAGACGATTCACTGGTCATCCAACCAGCTTTCTCAATTCAGAATGGCTTGTACAAAAATTCTCTGGGAATAAATATGGTGAATGTCGCTCCAATCCACATAATCTGTTAGTTGCAACTTGGTGCTGATTGCATTTGCATAATTGGAGTTTAGGAGGTGTTAAAACAGCATTGTATTCTCTCACGGGTGCCACCGCATGTCGCCATATGGGAGCACAGCACGCTGCTGTGTGGGGACCTGAATTAAATTTTCATATTATACACTACCAATAAAGTTTATTTTAAAAAAATTAAACAGTGACAGCTATTAGCAGATCTCATTTCTGTGACAAAAGAGCAGGAAAAACCCAAGCAGCTTGTCAATTTGTAACTGGCAAGAAATGTTTTTGTTGGAGGTGCAATTCACAGAAACTGCAGGTTTACCTGCCGCCCACCCCTGATAGCAAGCACAGAGGTCTTCAATAAAAGCTGCTCCTAGCATTATGATAAAAACAGAGGTCTCGGTTGTATGCATTTCCAGATATGTGGAGCCTACATATCACAAGCAAGCTGCCTCTAAAGTGAGGTTCCTGTTCTAATCTACAGCAGTGCCAATGTTGGGACATGTATAGCAATGAAAAGGTGCAGACCTTTCCCTCCATAAGATATAAGAGGTCAACACACAATCTACCCAAATCATAAACATTAGTGTGTCATTTTAAATGTTTGAATGGATTACAGTCTCACAAAGCAGCCATCTGATACAGTTTTCCAACATAAGAAAGAGGTCAATGAGCAGGTCCCTACTGAGGTGACCAGAAATGAAGTGCCGCATACTTACGTGGCCACACAGCGATGTCTGGAATTCTTTTAAACATTCCTTCCCTGAGTGTAAACATTTCATGGAGGCAATGACCTACAGATGAAGACATTTATATACATAGATTAGAATATAAAAGTAATCATTCTAGACTATTACCACCCAGCCCTCTAACGGAAAAGGCTTTAAATCGACAATGTGTAGTATGGAGGACAGACATTTAATTTTCATATTAAAGATCTTTCCTGATATATTGTCACTTAGTGGATCAATACAAGTCTCATCTTTGCTTTCTTAAGCTGGCCTTACATGGCTTGGCAAACCTTGATTGGAAAATCAAAGGAGACGGGTGGGAAAAAGTCAGATGAACATGACTGCAGTCAATTATCTGTAGTCATTGTTCGGATATTCTGACAGCTGCAGATGTTGGATGTCAGAATGCCATAGCTGGCAGTGGAAAGTTGTCCATCCACTCTGGTTAGTGCGGATGGGGGAATAAAATGACTTCTCTTATTCAGCCTGTGTATTTTTATGTGTATGGCCAGCTTTACAGACTCAATTCACCCAAAAGGCATATATACTTGTTTAGAGTGGAGTAGCCTTATCAAGCTTATCTTTGCGATCTGACCTTTAAATGAGAGGTCATTTAGAGCCTCGAGTCACAATGGATAATTATGTCCATTAAATTACGTAAAAGAAGATTGTAATCTGTAGAGGAAGCAAGAAGGTTTGCAGAAACTGGAAACTATGGTCAGGAAATTGTTACTGGCTACAGACACCATACAAAGTGTCTGTCTATATGATGTACAGCTTTGCACATTGCATGCAGGAGTAGTAATATGTGATAAAGGATGCCATGTTGGTACCATGTTGTAGTTTGAGATAAAGTAATAACACAATGCATGGTATCATGTTGTATATGTGATTTGCAATGTGTCGCCATTCCATTCTTCACTGCACCCCAATGCACATACACAGTAATAACAAATTCACTTGTTTTATGGCACACCACATGGTACAGATTTGAATGCTCTGTGCAATTTCTTGCACAACTGAGAGGCATTGATGGTGCTTTTAAAATAAATGGTCAGTCTTATTGCAACACGCAAAGGTGTGCGTTACCATGTGCATGTTATGGTGTTAGTAAACCCTCACAATGACGGTCTGACTTAATGCAATGCACCTTAATGTAAAAAAACAAATCCATTAAAGAGGAACTCCAAAACTTCCAACATTTCCCGCTTTCTCTGTTGCATCTTCAAAACAGGATGTAAAGAGAAATCTCTCCAGAGGGAGAGAGATAGCAAAAAAGGGAAGTGGACAGATCTAAACTTTCCCTGCGCTATTTAGTCTGTTACACCTCCTCCCAATGTGTTTTCCTGCTTAGTGGTAGGCATGTAGTCTGAGCCAGATTCAGTTAACATTATACCTATTACAATATGTAAGTTCATTGTTTAAAAACAACAACTTACCACATGTAAAACACTAGAATGCCCCTTAAATAAATTAATTATTATAAGCGCTCAATTTGAAGGAAGGCACCAATTAAAAATGACATGACAAACATGATTTACAACACATAGAAATGCTCTTACCATGAGCTCGGAATACCCGATCCTCAACATCATGAGAAAATGGAATGCCGATGGCTTTAATATCCTGCATAAATCCTTCATTTAAAATGGCTGGTGGGGCATCACTTACATTTAAAGATGCCTAATGAAGAAACATAGATAATTGCAAGACATGTATTACTGCAACTACATTCAAAAACTAGGAAAGTTTGATGGAGAGTTGCCCACCCAGGTTTCTTATACAAAAATGTTTGTGAACCCCTTGGCATTTTCTGCCCGACTACTAAAATGTGATCCGATGTCAAGAAAATAGACAGCCAACTGCTCCAAGCTCGCTACCATGGTGGACTACAATCTCATGTTTAGTTTACTTATTTCTATTGCAGTCCATCACAGGAGCGAACTTGGAGCAGTGGCTACTTTACAACACACACAGGGGCCATGGGGAACAAAAGTAGCCATCCTCCAGAAAGGAAGGACAGCGTCAGCGCCAATACAGAGATGATTTTAGGATCTACAGCCGAATGATACACAAATAAGATACATTTTAGGTTTTTGAATGCATTTTGAAGATTTAACTCCCGAGTACTCATTTACAGGGGAAAAACATTATATACAATGGCTCAACATCACACCCCAAACAAATTAATACAACATAAGTAATGTTACTTTCCCTATAAACCTGTAGTAGATTGCTTTCTCCATGGCTACAGGTACTCCATAGTGAACACCTGAAAGAAATATCTTAGTAATATGGGAGGTTTTCCAGAACCAAATCAATACTCCTCTAATGGCCTATTACTCACATTTATACTACACCAGGAAAAGCTCGTTCAACAAAGCCTAGTTGAGATATATGATTGTATTAGAAAGTTAGTGAAGCAGAACGCATTGAAATATCAATGTCCTTATATATAAAGAATTTGAAACATTATAAAAGGCAAAATTGTCTATTGGTAAATTAGAATACTTTGCTCAAATGAAGTAAGAATGATGGCTACATAATACTTGAAATTAACCAGAACTGTGCTGCTTTTCAGAGGTTTCAGATATCTTTCCCCTGTCAAATACCAAATGGTTTTATAGGGCAACTACTAGCTGGAACTGCAACCTTCTGCTGGCCGTAACAATTATTTAGGCTGATACCAATGAGATTTCTGTACCCCCCCCCCCTACTGTGCTCCTTCACACACTGTGGCCCCATCCCATTCCCAGCTATTTCAAATGTCCAACAGATACAAAAAGTCAGGAATTTATTAAAACTAGGAATGCACCGAAATTTTGGCTGCCGAAACATATCGGACGAAAATTGCACTTTTGGCAAAATTCTGAAAGAGCCATCTTTCGGCAGAAATTGCAGTGCATCCCTAGTTTCTCTCCTCCCTGCTATGCGCTGCTGTGTCCCCTGACACAGCACAGCATCCAGCAGGCAGGAGAGAAACTGTCAGAGGAGGCCGATCGGTGTGGGAAGGAGAGTGCTGTGAACACCGGGAATGCCACAGGAGGCCGGGCTCTCCTCCCGCGCCACCCCGCTCAGCCTCCTCTGACCAACCAGAATGCAGAGCGGTAGTGTGGGTGCGGAGACAGCCATGCACTGTCACAGGAGCCAGAGGCCGCAATGAGGGGGAGGAGTCCGCTGTCAAAATAGACCATGCTCTCCTCCGCCCACCACCGGCTCAGCTGTGACAGTGAGTCAGGATGGAAAGTGGTACAAGCAGTCAGCGATCAGCTGATCTCTGACTGCTTGTAAATAACTGGACGTAGTATGAGTTATGTACCAGTTACGAATGAATAGACAGTGATCTACATCACTTCCTGTTCATTCATAATTGTGTACATAGTAACTCATACTATATCCACAATGTATGAATGAACAGGAACACTCAGTACAGTATAGAGGATTCCTGTTCATTCAGTGCTGGGGCTGCAGAAAAAGAGATTATAGACTCTGTGTCCTCTCTTTTTCTATTTTAAAAAAGGGAAATATCAGGGGTCTGTTTAGACCTCTGAGATTTCACCAAAGCCCCCAATAGTAAAGTTAAAAAATAAATAAAAAAATAAAAAAAAGTAAAAGTTTACAAAAAATTAAATATTTTAGAATATTTAAAATGGTTAGAAAAAAAAAATATTTTTGGTTTCGGCCTGACTTCTTTTATTTTCAGTTTCAAAATTTTCACTTCGGTGCACCTCTAATTAAAATTGGAGCAGCCAGAATCTGAAGCAGCTGCCCATGGCAACCAATTAGCATCTTTTTCATTTTCAAAGCTTTCAATCTGAAGAGAGAAGCTGATCGGTTACTATAGGCAACTGCTCCAGATTCTGTCCGCTCCAGTTTTGATAAATTACTCTTCATGGTAAACATTAAGGTCAATAGGCTAAACCAAAAATATGTACTAGTGTATGGCTAGCTTTGTCAGCATTTAGCACTGACAGGCTGAAGGTTGACAACTCAGAGGATTGGCAGAATAACAGACCTCAGTCTTGTCAGAATCTTGAGGCATGAAAAGCATTTCAACAAAGGGCATTGAAATTAAACACCTCAAAAACTACACAAACCATTGCTAGCAAACATTTATGCATTTGTGGTTTATAACACATACGCCCCTTATGTACTTACTCTGGAGGTAGTTTTGTGATTCAAACTAGCACCAAATGTCTTTTCCATCCATTCTCGCAAAGTCGGGAGCACCATACCACTCAGTTTATACCTGAAAATGAGCCACGTATTAGTTCAATTAGGAAGTCTGTACCAAATTCTTAAACTGGACTAGCTACATTTAGACCTAAACCACATTGCTATTTTTAACACAAAATGTACATCTGGTGCTTATGATAAAACAAAATATGTACAGTCCAATAAATGTCCCTTTAACCTTTTCACTGCCAGAGCTATTTTTATCTTTTTCTTAATTTTTTGCACTCATGTTGAAATGCACATTTTAGGTCTGAAGATTACTTAAAACTAGTATCAGTATCGGTGCCGATGCCGAGTATTTGGGCGAGTACTCGTACTCGCCCAAATGCTCCGATGCCTAGCCAGATACTTACGGTATCAGGAAGCTGGGCAGCATGTAAGGGTGCCCACACACCTTACGATAATCGTACGATAATCGCGGGAAATCCCGCGATCGTACGATTATCGTAAGGTGTGTGGAAGCCATGCGACCTCTACTACTGTAAGATTGCACGACTTTTAACTTACGAACATGTTCGAAAACCCGCCGAGCATCGTACGATGTTCGGCGGGTGTGTAGCATGTTCGTAAGATAAAAACCGGACGGGCCGGTGTGCCGTTCGGCATTGCGGTCATCGGAACCCCGCCCCTCAGGGGGCGCGGCTTGCGATCATCGCAAGTACGATCTGCCTGTCCAAGATAGGCAGATCGTACGTTTTTTTAATTACCTTACAACCATCGCAAGACAAAAGTCTTGCGATGGCTGTAAGGTGTGTGCCCAGCATTAGAAAGCTTGCTCCATGCTTTCTCGTCACCTAGCGACGAGAAGCATGGGGACGGCTTCCCTGCTGACCGGGAAGCTGGGTAGCGAGTCTTTGGACGCCGCCCAGCTTCCCAGATAATCAGGAAGCCAGGTGGTGAGTCATTACACACAGACTGGCTTCCTTAGGCCCCGCTCCCACTGCGCGATATGCAAATCGCGCGTTTGTCGCGCGATTTGCATATTGCGCGACATCGCAAGATTTGCAGCGCGATGTCGCGTTCAAGCTTGCATTGAGCAAGCTTGAATCGTGGCTAAATCCGCTCCAAAAAGGGTCCTGCTGTAGCGACACACAACCTGCGACAGCAGGACCCTTTGCCCCATTGGATTGCATTGGAGCGCGATATCGCGCGGGAATTTGCCGCGATATCGCGGGAATTACCGCGCGATAAATCGATCAATGTGAACGGGGTCTTAATGGGACTTCCAGTATCGGTATCGGTGAATAAGGGAAAAACAAAAAGTATCGGTACTCGATACTGGAATACCGGTATTGGTGCATCCCTACTAATAACTACAAAATGTTATATATTTTCTGAAAATGAAGACACTGCAGGAGAAAGGGGTGGTTGCAATTTTTCATGTCACACAATATTATTGCAACTGTTTATCAAGCCCATATTTTGAGTACAAAATACACTCAAATTATTAAATTTTTTTTATATCAGATCATTTTTATTCATTTTAGTACACAAAAACACAAATAACCTCATCTTTTATATTTTACCAAAAAAATGGGTAAGTTGAACAGATCGATAGCAGAGGCTTTACTAAATATTTGTGAGGTGTTTTTTCTTTTGCTTAACTTTACTGCTATCACAAGGGGGTGACAAGTGATATAGCATAATGTGATATCAAATGTCTTTAGCTATGTGCTAGCACAAGGCAAGAAAGCCAACACAAGAAAAAAATTGCTAATAGTACACCAAAAAATTAGGGCTGGGGAAATTAACGATTAATTCCTTGAATAATCGTTAAACTTTTTGATCGATTAAAATTCTTTTGATCGAAAATGAAAAGACTCACCTCTTCGCCGGCTTCCGGGAGTCCCGTGGGAGGTCCGGTGACGTCACGGAAATCGACGTTACCGGACTCCTCCATTTAAGCTAATACTTATGTTTAAATCACCCTTAGGGCTTTGCTGTTTTACTATACTATGTAAATAAATTTGTAATCCAGCACGTTATTATTCTGAGTTGCCCCACTCAAGCGGCGGCCATATTGAGTGGGGCACGTCAGATTAATAACGTGCTGGATTAGTGTGATCCTAGTTCATTTTATTACTTCATTGATGTGCTGTATGTGTATAGGCCAATGTAGTTGGATCTGTATGTGCGTTATAATTAATTGAAATTAACCGATTAAAAAAAAATTAGATTAATCGAACACGAAAAATTTTAATCATTACCAGCCCTACAAAAAATGTAAACGGACTCCTGGCTGCTACAGCTTGTTATATATCTCGGGTGCTCCAACAGAGAGACCCCCTGCATAATTCTTTATTCTGCTCCTGTTTTTATGGGAGATTGGGTTGTTTCCTCTACATTCGCAATTTTCCATAATATATATAAAAAAAAATCTCAACAGGATAAAATCGAAATGGTCAAGAGGGTTAAGCTCCTTGGCATCTGCCAGAAATGGAGATATCTCTTTTGGGAAGACTGACCTTTTAAGACATGGCAGGGAACTGAAAACTGCCCCCTCCCTGATTTGGGTTTTATTTTCTCCTTAATTTGCTAATTTTTGTAAATAGTTAAAAAGGTACCTGAATTAAGTTTTAAGCTTTAACTCCCAAGTTTAGTTTCACTTTAAGAATCATTTATGAACAATAGAGTTTCGGAAAATGCTCGTGTAGTTCAACTGCACAAGCAAAATGCTTTAATTTCCCTATCCTAAGGTCAAAAGCCAAATGGTTGCTGCAATCGACAAATCTACTGTCCACGCTCCAGCTTTTTATATGATATATTCATACTGTACATATGTATATATAAAAGGTGCATGGATTGTTAAACAAAATCTACAATAAATGTGTAATTAAGCAAATTGCGGTTTGTCATATAGTACATAAAACAGCTGCAGATCGAATTCTAAAAATATGATGATCGTTATTCTCCAAACACTAAGTTGTTTGCTTCTTGTGGGATATTAGTGAGGTTCTCTGCAATTTTAAACTAAAGAATTTAACCCACGCATGTAAAGTAAATATCGGATGCAGCTGGGGGGCTGTTCTGTTGCTGTAGAGCTAAAATTGGCTGGCCATAAAGAGTTTCCCTGTCTAACAGCCAGGTTGTGTCCCATCATGATGACTCAGGTTAGGGATTCATTGGCGCACACTCATTAGGGCACTCAGCGGGGCATTCAGCTGAGCACCAATTTATAGTGAACACATCTTGCAGCCTTCTTAACCACTCCGTACCAGGAAAGTTCTCAAAGGCCAACTTTAGCATATTCCGTCTTGTGGAATGGTTAAAATTTATTTTACGAGAGGAATTTATCAAACGTTAGGGCAGTTGCCCATGGCAACCAATCAGCTTCTCTCTTCAGTTAAGATTTGAAAATGAAAGAGAAGCCGACTGGTCGCCATGAACAACTGCTCCGCATTTTGTCTGTTCCAGTCTTAATAAATTCCCCTTTGTGTGTCCATGACAAGGAGATTTTTGTCACATTAGTGTATGTATCCACACAGAGGAAAATTCCTTTTCTTCCTGATGCCCATCACCTATATAGAGGGTGAAGTAAGATCTCCCTATCAGGAGGTGAAAAAAATCCAGAAGGATCCTAAAACGTCCTCAATCTACATCAAGTTGATTTGTTTTTATTTTATTGCTGCCCCTGGGGAGGAGAAATGAAGGAGAAAGCTTCTTGATTGAAAAAAAAAAAAAAAGTTTTGACTGGAGTTGCAATAATGAAATGCATAACAACAAAAAAACAAAAAGGAAATCCCCCAGTAGCTGTTAAAAATGTAAATAATAATGTAAAAAAACATGGGGGTAGGGGTTTGTGTATTAAGAAACCCAACATATTTTTTCTCAGTGTACAGGAGATTATTTTTCCTATGTATACAAAAGAGGGATAGGGGGCTGAACATCTATATATGCATATACATGAAGCTCTTGGGTCTCCTATTGTAAATATTCAATACAATTAGTTTTACCCTCCATAAGGAGATCTCATCATAGGAGCAAAAAAACAAATCTAAGTAAATAAATGTAAAAAAAATGTAATTACCAAAATGTATTTACTTATATTTGATATGTTTTTTTTTGCTCTTTGATGAGATCTCCTTATGGAGGGTAAAACTAATTGTATTGAAGATTATTGTTCCTACCTCAATGAAAGATTACAGAAAACTTTTTAAAGAGTTTAATTGAAAGTGGGTTCGTCACCGGGCCAAACCTTTTATTCCACAGCTGTCAAATAATAATGTTGACTGTAATTTCTTACAGACACCTAGCCACTAGATAAAACTTATATAAAGAAATGGGATAAAAGTGTTTATGATATATGGCCAAGAAAGGCTCTAAAATGTTAAAATCCCTTAAAAATAAAAAATTACAGCCAAGTAAAATTTGCAATAAACATAAAAATAAATGGCCTCCCTTTAAATAACACCCTATGTGCATAAATCAATGTTTGTACAAGACACAATAACAGAAGGATAAACGTCCTCCAATTACCTACGAAGATGCTCCCGTCACACAACAGAACTACGTGCCGCATACAGAAGACATGAGAGGACCGGCTCTGGAAGATTTATTAAAGCAGTGTAGAAAAATAACTAGTCTGCCAAAATATTATATTACTCTCTCCCACAGACGCTATTTACTTAAGCTGTCCTACTTATGGAGGGAGCATTTTCAGCTCATTTTTCTGTTCCATGATCAACCGTATCAAATGTGTACTTGATGCCTGATGAACATTGCCTCAGCAAAGTACTTCTTCTTAGAAAAACAAATCTGCTAAGCATCTGTACTATGCTGGCCAAGTGACATAAACCGCGCGGCATCCTGTGCTAAGGTGATGCAACATGAGCAATGATGGAGAGGGTAGTAGAAAGGAGCTAGGTCAAAGAAGAATCAGAGCTGAACATTATATTAACACTAAAAGCCAAAACTTAGACATGAAAGGTAAAAACCGCTTCGGTGGCTCCACTGTCATCATCTGAATGAAACCCGAGCCCGTGGAGCCCAGAATAAGGTGTCATAACACAGTGA